ACAGATCAGCACACCCACCCCCCACCCTTTTTTCGTAACCGTTAGACTTCTATAATCTATAACGACGATTATTCCAGAGCTACGTTGCAGTTGCATACATTTGTCTTACCTGAATATTAGTATTTTGATAGGCTTTTCATTTTCTTTTTCTAGGCAAATAGAGAATTTAGTTCTTATCGCAATAACACCACACTGGACCATGATAAGGCAGGCGAATATCCCATCTAAACTTATCAAAATATCAAATTTCAATGTATGAGAACATACAAACTTGCCAAGATGAATTTATCAAAACACATTGATGACGTACCATTGTATATCGACCTTTTTACCTTTAAAGAAGAGATTTGATTGATTCAACATACTATTGATATTATTTCTATTGTAAAACATGAAGTATTAACGTACTCGAAAAGTCACATTAGTTGAAAAATATCTGTGAACCATAAAAAAAGGTTTTCAGTTCGGAGATTATGAAAATATATTTCACTAACTTTCATTTGCATGTTTCGAACAAAATCAATAATCACACGGAATATGAGATGAAAAGAGATTTTAGATTGAGAATTTTCAAAATTCGAGAGTTTAAGCAGCTCGTGTGAAATACCTGGCTTATAAAAAGGATGAAAATGACAATCTCTCTTTACTCTAAACACGTAGACAGGCTCGATGGCTAGTGGAAATTTTTATTGAGCAGAATTGTCGGTAAACCATTTTGTCGGAAGCAAAGTCTAGAGCAGATACACAGCCGGGGCCAAATAGGAACCAAATAAATCCTTGCAAATCTCTTCTCATCATAAGGCAAACTTTATTAAACATGAGAGTATATATATTAGAAATACTCATAAGAAAAGAATTTTGTTTACAACTTTGTATTTAACCCTTTAGGGACGGTTGACCCCCTAAGGGGCCATGGTGATTCTCTAGCATTTCAAAACACACAGATTCCTATATGAGATTAGTTTTCGTGAAAGCATTTATCAGAGAGTTTTTTGGTATAATTTGGATTGTAATTAGGTTATTTTATTCGGGTATCCAGTAATGGATAATAAGCTCTTTTAGAATATAGAAATGTTGATTGATTTATGATGAAATGTACAGAAAAAAAAACCCGTCCCCAAAGAGTTAACTTTGATGAAAATAAGCGCAACATTTATTCACCATCATTTGATCTCTATGATGATTTCATTGTTGATTGTACTGAACAGTGTATATCATCACTTCAATGGTTAAGGGACAGTTCGAATATGATCGTAACAACTGTATAAAATGCATTTTGGTTCTGGCAGTGTAACATTTATTGGTGAACGATTGAAAAGAGAAGATCTATGATTAATATCCATTTCAGAGTTAAATAGTCGTGACCATTGTTTGAATAACTTTTGATTGGCTGAGGCTATTGAGCTTCAGGTTGCGTAGTTAGAAAGATTGGACTTCAAGGCATCTTTCTGTACGAGTCATTTGAGCCCAGAAACACTTTTTTACGACTGTTTATACTTCGATATGTTGTTTTCATGTTTTTCCAATGCATTTTTTCGACATTATAACTTCCATTATACCAAATTTTAACGGGAGTTTCGCTGCATAGACAGCAAGATTCTTATACATCAAACTTTGTTAAAGAAAAGAGATCAAAAAGACGATATGAAAATGTCAAAATTTTACCATGCAGAGGGATGAGGATGAAGTGAAGAGACTCACGCTCATTCTCTTTTTCTTCCATACACGTGACTGAAGGTTTATCAACAATATGTTATTTTTGTTCTACACATCGAAATATTTCTATTTCGTTCTTCAAAACGTTGCTGTTTGTGTAAATAAAGTGTTGTAGTGAATTTTTTACGCAGCGATCGTCTCACGGACGACCAGTAAGAAAGGATGTTTCGTTTCGATGTTGTCATAAAGAACAAAAAAAAAGGCAGTCGTGGCAACTAGAGTCATTAACGTTTTCTTTTATTTGGTAACAAAATCGCAACAATTTAAGTAAGTTTTATTCAGCAAAAGCTCTAGCTTACCTTGTATAACTATGGCATCAAATGAGAATCAGTGCACTACTGATTCGGTAGTACCAACGGTTAATCGGTTCACGAGTGTAATTGCCGTAAAACACGTAGACGAAGGCTCATCGTTGGAGCATATGAAATCGATCGAAAGCTTTGATAAAACACCTCTGGTATCGCTAGAAAAGGCAGTCGAGCCACTTGTTTCCTTTTTAGCAACTATTCGTGAGAAGATAGATGAAGCAAAACAAGTAATAAAGCGTAAAGGTTGGGAAACGTTTCATGCTGGTTTATCTTCTAATGAAGCAAGTGCAATCGTTCTCTACACTATGGAATGGACACCTCACGACGAATGCCTCTGTTACGCACTGAACAAGAGTCTTCGAGATGAAAATCATGACAAGTTGATACTCTGGTTTCTCTACATTCAACTTCTTGTTACTGCACTTCACCAACTGCCACTCTTTCGAAAAACAATCTATCGTGGTGTGCAACGTGACTTGAGTAAAGAATATCCGAAAGGAAAGCAATTTGTTGGGTGGGGTTTCACCTCATGCATATCATCCATTGAAGTGATTCAAGCGTTTCTTGGGCAGACAGGATCTCGAACTATCTTCACAATCGAAGATAACAATGGTAGAGATATCCAACAGTTTTCAATGTATGACACCGAAAATGAAGTGCTTATTCCTGCTGGCACTCAATTTACCGTTATTTCTCATCTTAATCCATCACTCGACTTGTACATTATTCAACTACAAGTCGTCAATGGAATGAATACTCTCCTACCGCCTTATGATATTATTTCTTTGAAAAGAAGCAGACAAAGCTTTCGTGGTGGCCCACTCGAAGTAGAAGGTTGGCCGATTAGTCTGAGTAAGTTGAATGACCAAGCAATATCGGATGTCGTAGAAGGCTTAAGAGCAACAGATACAAAAGAATTGAAATTCCAAGACTGCAAGCAGCTAAGCTCAGAAGGTTGGCATCTTCTTGCCGATGAATTGCGGACGAACAGCACAGTTTACAAGCTCGAAATTAGTTCCTCTCCAATTACCGATGAATGTTTACAGTATATTCTCGATGTGCTGAATACTAATCCAGAAACGAATCTTAGGCAGCTTGTTTTTCGTGATATCTCACTGACAAAAAATTGAATAGACATTATCGCTTCATTTTTGCAAAAAAATCGTTCGGTAACGTCGCTGGATCTATCTTCTAATGGAATCATCACGGATGAAACCCTGCCGCGAATTCTGGCCTCTCTTTATCATAATACAACATTAGAGTTTCTACGTCTACCACATCGTACGATCACCGACAAAAGCATCGATCTTTTTATTGATTTATTCAAACATAATAACACTTTATATTTTCCATATTATGATCGAAATCGACATGGCTTCACGGAAAAAGGCTACAAACGTCTCTTCAAAGTATATTAGGAGACTCGAGAAGAGTCGAGAAAAAAAACCGAGTCATTGGTAACAGTCCCCATTCACAACTCGACAACAAAATCAAAGTCTATTTGTATCTTATTATAACCAATGCAAGAAAGACACTTATCATAGAGACGATCGAGGGCTGTGTAAATACAAGAACAAGTTGTATTCTGGAAAGAATATGACTCCCAGAAACTCAAAATTTAAAATTACCTTAATGTGCTATCACGTACTGCTCTGTATTGAGCCCAACACATTAGAATTTGAAAATCCGTGTTATGACGTATTAGATTCGAAAACTTAGAATTTCAGAATTGTTACTCTTGGATATCCTAAAGTACTCTCAGTTAGTACAACAACTCACACATTCATGATACGTGCACGTGCGTACTTTATCTTCACCCTCATTTAGTGCGATACTCTGACAAGTTTCTTCCTTATGTCAGGATTGTACACTCACCCACACTTAGATGATACATACGTTTATCCTGTCCTACACTCTCATTGAACGGGTCTCTCTATGCCAGCGTGACACCCTCACCCTTGTCTGTTTATCTTGCATCATGTCAGTGTTCGACATTTATCATCGAGAAATGCCTTTAGTGTGTGTTTAGGAGCCTCTCCATGCAAGTCACGACCGATTTACCTTTAAGCTGCTCAATGGAAGTCTTCAGATCTTGCTCAATTTAGTGTCATATTGTACAGCATTCATTTTTGTGAAGTTCTGCAATAACGGAATTGAAAAATATCGAACTGCTAATATTTCAGAGGGTGATGGCGAGTCGAGTAGCCATGACACGTATTGCGACCTACTCAAGGATCTCATCAGATGGCTTCGATTACGAAAGAAACTAATTCTATTCAAATGATCAGTAGAAATGATCACAAATAAGAATCAGTTACAAAGGTAATCACTTAGACATTAATATGACAAAGCGTGTCAGCGCAACTCCTTCGAGCTAAAATGTGGAACTCACATACCTTGTGTTGTACTATTAAAAACTACGTAGAGTGAATAATCTCTAATCGACGATAAATCTGCTCTAACAATGGAGGTGTTTGTGTCGTAAGTTGAAAAGACCAGATATTTTTGCATCAAAAGAAAGCTCTCACCGCCAAACTAACAAGGTTAAAATATTAGCTGCTGTTGGCTTGCCTGGAGGGAGATATTCGATTTTTATGGTCCTCCTGATTAGGGTATATAGGTACATTAGAATTATTTACATTAATTTTTTATGCAATCAACTGAGTATTTCGATAGTAGGCTACAAGAATCTTTCTGAAATTTATCAATAGCAGTAGGATTGCATTAGTTTCAGTGTCTTCTGGAACTTCCGTACTATCGAAATGAAAACAAAGGAATATGATATGTTTAAAAAATGACGTGTGTATACAATATTTGAAATTAAAGTGCATCAATGCATCACTTGGTGATCTATTTGACCGCTTCTTTGCGATTGGTATTAAGAGATCACAAATCAAATATACTATCGAAGATTTATTCTTTTTCATTCCCTGCCGTATCCACCGAATAAAAACGTTGATCTCGTGAAATAAAACCATGAATTTATTGAACATCGCCAAACATCTTCTTCGTTTGACTCAAACTGAATATGGATCTGAAAATTCTGCAACAACTACCGATGAAATTTTTGTTGCAGAACGATTATTTCAAGTTCTAAAGTCATTTAAAGATAGCTACTTCAGTGAGCTATATACTTATGATACTCTCGAATTTGAAGACGAATATGATGAAATGACTGATTCAGAAGAGAGCAACGATGATATGACCAATGAAGAAGACACTGACGATGAAATGGATGATTATGATGAGACTGATCATTCTGATTTAAAAAATCGTTTGACATTAGAAGAAATGGAAAATATAATCGAATGGGTTGACGAACATCCGAATGCCAGATTTGCAACTATTTCTAATCGATTTAGAAAGATCAAATCCATGAATTATATTACAAAATTTAGAGAATATATCGAAAACAACGGCACAAGATTAGAAAAATTAAAACAAATTGAAGCATTTATGTTTGACGAATTTTATCTGAAAAGAACCATTGAAAAGGAAGCCCTTCATGATACTGACCTAGAACTCTATGCAATTCAAAAAGCAAGAGAATTAAATTGGGATACATTCAAGGCAAGTAAATCGTTTATCAATACTTTTAAAAGGGAAAACGGAATATCATCCAGAAGATGTAACAAAATTATAACCCGAACCAAATCAAACAAAAAACTTTGCAGTTTAAATGGTATGTAAACTTTTATTTGGTCTTTAAATACGTATGTCTTAATGTAATATACATATATATTTTAGATGCTCAAAATTGGATTGAAAGTAAAAGAACTTTAATATCAAAGTATTCTTCTCACCCAATTTTAAACAGCGATCACTGTTCATTTCAACAAGAATATGTTCCACCAAGGACCCTTTCTTTTACTGGTGAAAGAACAACAGAAGTGGCTGCTAAAAAGAAATATAATATAACGCATTCCTATACAGTTCAACCAGTTACATCAGCTAATGGTCATTTATTGGACAAGTTCTTACTCATTCTTCAGGAAAAAGAAAATACATTCGGTACAAGAGTGCAACAAAATTTAATTATACCACCAAATGTTGTAGTAAGAGCTTCAAAATCAGGAAAAAGCAGTGATGAAAAACATCATACTTTTTTAAATGAAGTTCTACGCCCATTGGTTGGTAAAAAATTTCTTCTCTTCCTTGATGCTTGGAAAACTCAAACTGATCTAACAAAATTTAGAGCAGTATTTCCTAATCAAGACACTCAATTATTGATTTTTCCTGAAGGATCAACCGATTATATTCAACCACAAGGTCTTTCTTTATTCCGTTCATGGCGATTTATTCATGAAAAAATCGAAAATTATACTTATATTAATCGAACAGAAATAACTTTAAGTGATCGTCAATATTTCATCAACATGCATTCTGTTATTCACAATCAATTATCCGCTCCACAATTTAAAAATCTCATTAAGAATGGATTTATGCAAGCTCGAATAGCAAATGAAACAAATGGACATATTGAAAAACCAAAAGATGTTTGCTTCAAATTTTACGATCTATACTGTTCAGTTAATAATTGAAATGAACGAACACTATTAATGTGCGCTTGGTGCAAACAAGCTCTTTGTTACTATCATCTGATTGAAGACCTACATCTGCACTTGTAGTACAGTTGTTAAAATAGTATATTATATAATCTGTTGTTTTTAACTGAAATAAAATCGAAACTATTGACGAGTTAAAGATTCTGATAACTACTAGCTGATCTTTATCTATATGGATACTACTTTAGTCCTAGAAGTCATCGAAACTAACGTAATCCTACTGCTATTGATAAATTTCAGAAAGATTCTTGTAGCCTACTATCGAAACACTCAGTTGATTGCATAAAAAATTAATGTAAATAATTCTAATGTACCTATATACCCTAATCGGGAGGACCATAAAAATCGAATATCTCCCTCCAGGCAAGCCAACAGCAGCTAATATTTTAACCTTGTTAGTTTGGCGGTGAGAGCTTTCTTTTGATGCAAAAATATCTGGTCTTTTCAACTTACGACACAAACACCTCCATTGTCAGTGAAAATATTCTTCATTAGGTAAAATATTTAAATAATATGTTTTATTCAGAACCGAGAATTCATAGATAGCTCAAGTGTGTAGAAAAGACAGTACTAAGACTCTGAAATCGATTGGTGTAAACAGTGCAACCACGATCGATTAAGTCGCTCAAGTGTTCCAAATCGGTTATCCGCGGACACTTGAAGTGTCTAAATTAGTCTTTAACCAACCAATCAGAAATAGTGCTGTGCGTCTTGTTTAGACGAACGGATCGTCTTATTTATACACTTCATGTGTCTTGATTTTTTAGAGTGTGTAACATCTGATAAAGAAACTTGTATAATTACACTTTTATTTCCTAGTGATTGTTGATTTCAGATAATTAGTTATTGTATTAATATATACTCGCATTGAAAAAGACAACAGAATTCTAATGGCTAATTCTGAAAATGATAATGATTCACCACAAGTTTATCTCTTAGGTAAAACTTACTTGGCTAACAATCGAGAACAATTTTATATTCGAAATGATCCTATTATTCATATGGCTGCAGGTGATCGACATACAATTATTGTTACTGAAACTGGTCGTGCCTTTGCTTTCGGTGACAATAGTTCAGGTAGAGTAACAAAAACGAAAGTTTCTTTTTCTTTTCGAACACCAACAAAGACATGAAATGTTTAGGTCAATTGGGTCTTGGTCATACAAATAATGTTGAACAAGTCTCATGTATTAAAAGTTTAAAATTTGGAGAAACAGGTGAAAAAGTTATATTAGCTGCATGTGGTCGTGAATCATCATTAGTTGCTACTAATCGTGGTACAATCTACGGATTTGGTTCAAATAGTCGTTCACAATTAGGAATTCAATCATCTGATTCAAATACAATTTATCCTGAACCTGTTAAAATTGAATATTTTAAAGGAAAAATTGTTTGGAAACAAATAGCTATGGGTGCCGAACATTCATGCGCATTAAATGATGAAGGTATAGTATATGCTTGGGGTTCAAATGATGATGGTCAATGTGCGCAACCACGTAAAACTTATGTAGTTCAAATGCCAAGAGAAGTTCGAGTAGAATATGAAATTAATGCTATGTAAATATAAAGATAAAAAAAATCAATCAATCAAGTTTGAATTCTATTTCATTTTTAGATCATGTGGATATTTTCATACAGCATTAGTTAGTACAAATGGTCGTTTATTATTATTTGGAAATAATGATGATAGACAATTAGGACGTTCAGTATCTGATAAATTTGCTGGTCCAATAGAAGTTTCAATGCCAAATAAAGTTAAAGCTGTTGCCTGTGGAAACCAACATACTGTTGTATTAACTGAAAAAGGAGACGTATATACATGTGGTATGATATATTCTTTTATTCATGTATTTTGAACGAAATAGGAACACAAGAGCTATTTTTTTCTTTGAAAATATCAATACACATATAAGAGTGAGGTTTATTGAAAACCTATTGAAAAAGAAAAAAAAGGCATTATATTTTTTCTGCTAATGACTGTGAGTATCATATTAGAATTAGCGTGAACATTTATTCGTACTGATGTTAATCTTTTAGGCATTAATATTAAATTCAGTTTCGATGCTTTAGTAATATTTGCATTAGAATTAATTAATACTGAAATGTTAGCATTGTTGTAAATATTATATATAGAATACTAACGACTATGTCTAGAACGCTTTAAGTTGAGAAGTACCTAAAATTGAATGATTTTGTTGTATTTTGAGAAAAGCACTTCCGAGTAGATGTCTAGCATCTGCCATTACAATAAAAAGTTTTCTATCACAAAGAAAGGTTCTGTGAAATTTTTCTCGTAATCAAAATACAAAAAAGTCACTTTCTCTCGAATATTCATGTAAAGCAATTAAGACAGAAACAAAACTGTGATACTCAAAATAAATTGATAAATTTAAATTATATTGAGATATTCAGATTAGATGTATAGGTAATTCGTCAAGCATTAGCATTATTCTAATACTAATGCTAATCTAGCATCTCTATTCACGACAAAACATGTTTTTTGTTTGAGATAGATTTAACTTATTTCTTATTTCAATAAAGTGTGTAGTAGTTATATCCCATTGATAACATATGTTATATAATCCAACTTCCATAATAGTTTGTTATGTACAAAGAAAAAATTATATAGATTGCTTTTCATATGAATAGGAGAGTTCATGAAGTTCTACATTTACAATAAATTTTCGATTCGTATCGATAGTAATTCTAGATGATCTCTCCAATAGGAGTCACTTTTGTTATCATGTAGAAAATATGTGACAGAAAAAAACCGTTCATGTTAAACAAACGGATAGTAAGATCTTTGAAGAATTGTATAGTAGTATTCAGTTTAAGATTTTTATAACTATAAGTTTTTGACTTGGATGATATGTAAAATGTCTTCTAAAATAACAGAATATTCTGATAATTAATCCTACTGTAATTGAATTCTAACTGGATCATACTTTTCTCTACTAATGAATATTTTCATCGAATTTTAATTACTAGGATGTGGTGATCGTGGTCAACTTGGTCTTGGTCCAAGAGTTTTGTCAGCAGAAACATTTGAAAACGTTCAAGGTTTACCAAAATGTCTTACAGCTATTGCTGCTGGTGAAGGTCATACAGCTGTTCTTACTGTTCGTGGTGATTTATATGTATTTGGTGATGGTAAACATGGAAAATTAGGTTCACAAATTCATTCGAATGAATTTGCACCATGTTTGGTGGATAAGTTTAAAACATACAATGTCTTAAAAGTTGTTTGTGGTAGTTGTCAAACAATAGTTTTTGCTCAAAAGAAAACTGGTAAACAAAAACTATCACCAGAAAGTGAAGAAGATGGTGCAAGTATGTTTTTCATAACGATTTAAAGAAACGAAAAATATCATCATATTCTTTGTCTTTTAGTTTTAGATAAAACACTTCCAACAATTATGCATTCAATGAGTCCAGCGCAAAGTCTGAAGAGTAAGATAATCACTGATCGTACACATGCAATTAGTGAGTGAATTGAAGATATGAATGTTGGTATTGGTGTGAGTCGGTCCCTTCATATGCACAGCACACCGCTACCCTTCTTAGTAAACCTAATTTTGAAAAGAAAATTAAACTTTTCAGAGCAAGAACCGAAGCTAAATGACAGGCATACATTTGGTTTTACCGGAAGGAGTTGATGACACATATTCACCTCAGTTAATGGATGTGAGTGGGTATGGGGTATTGTTGCGAATAATCCGTTTGCGCAAACGCGCACCCCGCCATTAGAGACAATACCCATTGATAATAGATGATTCTGGTAGCATTCCAGACGTTGACTAAATCAGCACTTGAATAGTTGAATAGTGGCAAAGGTGAATACTTGATTACTTGAAATGGCAGTTGAATTTTTGAAATCAACTTGCAAGTTCCACATTACTAGGCACTTCCGAAGTGACGACTTACATAACTACGCGCGCACATCGTACGACCTGATGTGGATGCGGTGGAAGAAGTTTCTGGTTAGGTGGCTTACACATAATAACACTCCCACCTCACACAATCTGGTATGGGCGAGGCGAAAAGATATATCGATTGCACATGATACAACGCGCATAGGTAGCATCTAGTATTTGCAAAGGGGTAAGGGGTCGGCGACGAGTGTTTGGAAGTGGGTCTATCAAAGTAATGCCTTTGGAGTGAGTACATGATTTCGAATTGAACGACTTGGGATAGTATGGGTTAGGATTAAATCAGGTTTGGCACATTATTCCCTAGAATAGTTCTGCTTTGAATCGTGGGAATACGCAGAGTGATTTGCGAATAACAGGTAGATATGCTAGTTTTCGGATTTCGGTGTGCTAATGCTAGAAACGACTGGTTCCATGAGTTACTAGGATCGCCGAGAAACAGCATTATCCAATTTGTTATACGAATGGAATTGAGTATCATCGGCTCGACTTCGCTCGAGCAAAATCGGGTGGCGAGTAGTCGAGTTTTTGAGAATTCTACCTGGATAGATGGTTTGATCTTGGTGGGATCGTGCATTACTTTCTTTGAGTTAATGGTAAATTGTATACCTGCCACTTTCTAAGGAAAAATAGCATGTTTAAGGTACTCATAGCGTAGGTGTGGGTGTGGGTGTATGGGTAGGTGTGAGTGAGGGGGGGGGGGGGTGTGGATGTAAGTGTTGTTATCTTTATTCCCTCACGCTCACACCTGCCCACACCCACACCCAGACCAGATTCAACTTTTTCGGACTCAGACACGGCTAGTTAAAACTTATCGGGCCCGAACACATATTCCGTTGATTAAACTTTTTCTAACTCTGAATTGATCGACATTCTGAACATTTTCAGTGAATTATTCCTACCGGAATTTGATAATGCGTCATAAATATGAGATCTTTTTTTCGATCATATCGATGACTACCACGACCCATATGTTAGTTAGGCTATATTGACCATGATCTATAATCAAGTTATAATCGGCTCTAATTCTTTGCCAATAACTTCAGATGCCGAGATAAAGATTTAGATTCATACAGCTTTATCTTATTTTTTTTGTTTAACAGCTATACAATTATTAGGTATAGTTGCCTTATTGTTACTAGTTCATATTTATAAAAACAAATTAAGGTAGTCATATTATTTTTTTAATAAGCATACAATCAAAACTTGTTTTCATTTTGTTGTTATGCATTCATATTTATGTAAAACAAATTAAAACAACATTATATTATTTGTTTTGTTGAGCGACTTATCAATTAACAGTAATAATTGTTTTAATTTTGCCAAATTTTATTTAAAAAAAACCATTTTAAAGCAGCATCATATTATTTTGTTTTCTCTAGCAGGTATACGACTTACATATTATATTCAACAAGTTTTGTTTTTTTTTCTATTTTTTATCAGTCAGTTTATAATTACTGTTTGAATAAAATGAACAACAACTGAAAACATATTTTAAAAAGTCATTATTTGTATGAAATCAGTTTTTAGACCCGGACCTCAGCCTGGACCTGGATCCGAACCCGGTTGGGCCCGGGCCCTACCCGACGGGCTCTAACCCACACCTATCCCCACCCACACCCCATCTGACCTGCTGATTAATATAAAAATGTTCTGTTCAATGACAAATGCAAGTGGCAATGCAGTTTTTACAAAATTGAAATACTATACAAACCACGAAAATTTCCCTGAAAATATGGTAGTAGAGTGAAAGTTCCATGTGATAACTCTTTGAAAATCTGGCTATTTTCCAAAAAGCCATATATATATTCGGAAAGAGAAAGCTTCGATATTGTTTGGAAAAATTCGATTTTCTAAGGGACGGAGACCCCGTAAGAGTATCAGTTGCACAAAATTGCAAGTCTAATATCAAAGGTTACCTTTCAATAGGACGTGAGTCAGACTACGGAGTTTTGCTGGAAAATTTAGTGAAAAATCGATGGTACAGAAATCTGATAACTAAAAGAGGTTAGATAAGCACAGATAGTCAACATCAAATAGGACAGTATTGCAAGAAATACGAAACAATGCTACAGTAATTGTCAAAAACTGCTTCTAGTTTTTTTTACGCGCATTTTAGAGGGTAGAGAAATAAGTCGAATGATTCATACATAAATATTACACTTAGATTTTTCTTGAAAAATATATTTGAGATTCATAAAATCTCTACTTTCTAACAAGTTTATCATTTATTGCTTTAGATACTAGTCCTTTCTATAATGCATGTCGAAATAATAATATTGGTTTGGTTAAAAAATATTTACGAAAAATGTCATTAGATGAAATTAATAAAATAGAACCGAATGGATCTACTGCACTCCATGTCGCTGCATATCAAGGATACGAAGAAATAGTTGAACTATTACTACAAAAAGGTGCTTGTTATACAACCGTGAACAGATATAATTCTACTCCATTGGATGAAGCTAAAACTGATAAAATAAAGCAGATGATACGTCGTCGTATGAATAAAACAACTCGTTTTATTAGTGAATCCATCGAATGGGTTCTGCAGACAGACAAAGCAGATTTTCAAGCACATCAATATTGGAAAAAATTGGAAGCATATGGACGAGATCCACAATTTTATGAATTGATTGATTATATAAAAAGAAACTATGTTGAAAAAGATTTGCAAAATATTGAAGATATCGATACAGTGATAAAATATTTTAATATTGCGATCGAGAAAAGAGATCCTGTTTATTTATTACAAGCGTATACAGCTGAGACTGGTTTTTATTCCACACTTAATGTTCATCTAACTCAACTACATTTAGAAAATTTAACTGACAATGAAAATCTTAGTCGAGCATACTATATTGGAATAATTGCTCGTCATCCGAAATTCGGAACATTTTCGCATATTGGAGAAGCCTATCGTGGTATGATGATCACTAATAATGATTTAAAACAATACGAGATAGGTACACGAATTTTAACTAAAACATTTTCATCTTCATCAAAAAGATTGGATATCGCATTAGGATTTCTTGATGATAAGCGTTATACAGATGATCGATTAAGTACAATATGTACGTATGAAATACGTAATCAAAGAACTGCATTAGATATTCAAGATATATCATTATTTCCATATGAAGAAGAAGTTTTAATTTTACCTTATTCAGCATTTAAAATAATTGATATTCAAATACATAAAGACAAATTACCTAACGTTGAAATAAAACTAAAAGAATGTGAACCATGGTAAATGTTCATAGTGATTGAAACTGAAATTTTACGATGATTTATTTCCTTATTATAATATAATTAATAAAAGAAAATAAAAATAAATGAAAAAAAAATTACGTTTGACAGAAATGACATAATTCAGTGTTAATTTAGGATAAATTTGTTATCGAAGGGTATCAGTGTGAGATGTGAGTGTTAAACGAAAAGATCCACACCCACATCCGATGATAAGTGGAAGATAGAAACCGAATTAGTTGTTGCTCCTAACCCTGAAAAAAATGAAGAATAAAAAAGAACAAGTAATAATTGATAACAGACAAATCTTAGAAATATGTGATCAAAAAAAAACACTTCAACGTAGACTGTTCTTATTTTTTAACAGTTTTTTCGTGTTCATCAATCATGTGCAAGATAGATCAACAATAACATTGTCTAAATAACATCATTAGTAGCAAAATGAACGCAGCTAATCATTGAGCGTTTATTCAAATTTAAGTATTGATAACTGTTAATCTAGCAGTTTTACAGAGAATATTGACAAGAAGAACTGTTTTTGCCTTTTAAAACGTCGAGGATTCGATGAAAGTTTTTTTTCTGTTGTGAATCTTTGAAAATATGACTATGTTACGATTGTCAATAAGAGGTTCCTAATAAACTCATAAAATAGATCTGAACAATTCATGTTTGATCGAGCTTTGATGAAAGACCGAAAGCGAGAAGAACATTAGCAAAGGGATTAATTTGCTCATTTGATCTCTCATTTGTTTTTCGGTTGTCATCATATAAACAGAAATTACATTTGAAGCAGCATAAAAGGTAAGTTAATAAACAAGTAAGTTTGTCTCTTTGTCCATGAATGAAATTTGGACATTGTGTTGAAGGATGATCGTGCTTGAGAGAAAATCATACAGGATAGTTCAAAAAAAAGACTTTCTCCGTTTTGCAACATTATTTTCGTTCTTTTTGAATTTATTTTTTTGTTTAATCATTTTTGTAAAAGATAAAGCTTAAGAAACCTACTAGGCAGATATTTTTTCCAAAACACTCCACAATAACTGTGGATAAACAACAAATCCATTAAGTATGAAATCTACGCTGGAATGGTATACTCTTACCGAAAAGTAAGAAAAGTTCTCACTAACGACTACTTTTGAGTTGAAATTTCGTGTAACCATATAAATACTATACTATAAAAAGGTGTAAGTGTGGGTGTGGGTGGGTATAGATGTGAGAGAACAAGATCCACACGCATACCAACCCACACCCAAATAAACATGCCTTTGCATCAATAGTGTCGCAATCCTTCAAATATGTTCTATATTTCTTTTTGCTTCCGTAGTACAGTTGAAAACTACTATTTATTGTATAACGCAAATGTTCGGAGATAATCAACACTGAAAAAAGACACCTACACACCTTTCTTTCGCAGTGTAGTGTTTTTTTGATAACTAGAGGTGTACATCGTGGATGTGGATGGGTAGGAGTGTATTTCTACTCACCTGCATTCCCACACTCATTGATTTAGCAAAAAAAACTCAACGATCAGCTTGCTTCACATTATACTTCTGCGTCACACTGTAAATTTAGTAAGCTTATTACAAAGGGTGTGGGGTGTGGGGTGGGTGTGCGTGTGTGGGTGTGGGGTGTGGGGTGGGTGTGCGTGTGTGGGTGTGGGGTGTGGGGTGGGTGTGCGTGTGTGGGTGTGGGTGTGGGTGTGTGGGTGTGGATGTGGGTGTAGGTGTGGGTATAAGTCGTGTCTCTTCCACACCTACATCCACATCCACATCCACACCCCACACCCACACCCACATCCGCACCCCACACCCACACCCTTTTTCATATCTTTATTTCAACTAACAAGATATATATATATAGAGTAACACCCTAGAAGTCTTTTTTCCCATTTCCAAAAATTAAAAAAAATTTGCATGGAAACACGAAGAAAACATGTAAAAAGAATGATATCAAACTGGATATATGTATATGAATAGTAATTTGGCATAGATTTATATTTAAATGTTAAATTTAGTAAAATGGCAGGTGTTTGGTCGATAGAAAATGTCCAGAGATGATACGTTAAAGGGAAGACCGAAGAAAGTGAAATTGAAAATGTGGCGATGTTAAAGAAAAGAGTCGTAACGATTTGGAAAACCATAAGACCTTCAATGTGTTCAAAATTAAGGGATTCGATTCCAAGAAGATTACAACGTCTAATTGATAAACGAGGATATCCGATCAACAAGAGAGATTCTAATAACACGAAACTATAAAATGGTCTGTAATTTGTGATTCCATTTGTAGTGAAAAGTGATTGTTGTATATATTCGTTGTGAATAACAATATTGAGTTTTCGTTTGAGAACATGAGAAAAGCAATATTTCTAGGATATTACCCTATATATCTCTCCCTTATTAGTTGGGATAAAGATATGGAAACTTAGGGTAATATTCGCCTAGTTACAAGAGATTAGATATTGAACTTTGAGCGTTTTGGGATATGTTATAAGAGAGAAAGAGCAATTTTCCTGAAAGGGACTAAGACTTTTGGCTCATCCTTTAGTAAACTATTACAAAGATAAAACTATAACCTATTTTGATTCATTTTCGAATAGATAAGTCAATGATTGTTTATGCAATCATGTCCGTTACAGTTTATTTTGAGTTACGAGTGTCAATGTAATCTTTCAATTATGACCACTCACATCTACACCTTTATTATTTTGTGCATAGAGTTATGGATTAATGAAAAAGATAAAAATCTTTTCAGAGAAAATAAAAAGTATGAATGTAGTTTTATTCGAAAATTTTCTGAACTACATGAAAGTCAAACGCGAATGGAATATATTTTGTGATATAAATTGTTTGTTTCATATATTTTTTTTCTTTAATTCAAATGATATTGTGGTTGAACCAGTGGAAAACGATCCGAGAATATCATCAACGGATAAGTCAAAATCAATTTGTGTTTGATCATCATCCAATGCTATCAACTCATACATGTTTATATTATCTTCTGATATGTGTAATTTCTCCATTGTTTCTTTAACGATGATCATTATTATTGTATCTTTATGGCATGGTAATATAACCGTTTGATTATCATACATGATAGAGCAATGTATAGATGCTTTAGAAATTATTTTAAATTGAACTTCAGTCATATTTTCATCAATATCTTCTAAACAGACATCATCATCATCATCCAACGTAGTTTCATTCATAATTAAACAATAATACTCTCTTTTCAAGCAGAATAGTTGACATGCAATTTCACAGAGACGCTTTATTGTCATCGAAAGTCTACAATTGAATTGAATTGACTTATTTGCTTCAGTATTTTTTATAGTAACAGTAATTGGTAAATTTTGATCAATGGCAATAAATTGAATTAATGATTCTGATTGAAATGTTATTAATTGGATGTCAGTTGATGGAACAATATCATTTGAATACAAAAGATATTGATGTAAAATATCTTGTTGATTTTCTTTATTAACATCAGCAATCGTAGCACTAACAACAAATCGTTGGTGTTTCTCATTTTCTTCTTCAGTAACACGAATAGGTTGTGAATCATTCGATTTCTTAATCAATACAAGACACGTTTCATTTTCTTTAACAAGAATAAATTTCGTTTTATTTAAATTTGAAAGTTTTTCATTAGAATCAAGAATTCGTTTTGTATCATTCGTAGCTAAATATTTATAAACATCCATTGATTTTTCTGTTGAATGTAATAATTCTTCAATAGTTATATTTCTATTTAATAAAGGAACTTTTATTTGTTCTTCATCGTCATATTTTGTTATTTGTACTAAGGTCATTATTTGAAAATGAATTGGTTCATTTTCAGTAATTGAATAAGTATCTATAGATTTTTGAAGATCTTCTTTTGTTAATATATGTTCATTGTTTCCTTTCACGACAAGAAGACAATCATCAAAAGATAGATCAGTTAAATTTAAGTATTTGAAAATATTTTCATTATTTAATAAAGAAGAAATTTTCGTTGATTTTAAAGCATAAATAGAGTAATTATTTGTTTCAAATGTAAACTGAACTTTAGTTACAATATTTCGATTAATAATATCGATTATCATTGATTCTGTTTGATCGAATGTTGATAAAATACTTTGATCATTATCAAGAATTGTTTTCTTTTCTCGGATTAAAAACATATAATCATCAACAGAAGGATCAATTAGATGTAAAAGAGTTTTTAGCCAAAGATTAATTTGTTGCCATTTTGTTGTTGAATAAAATAAACTCATCATTTGATTTTGATCTATAGAAAACAAAAAATATGATTGAATATTTTCTAAAATTTTAACTATGAATTTTTGAGTCACTATCAATCATTTATAGTTGTCAAAATTGGATTTTTACTATCGGACATAACAATATTAGTTATCTCGATTTCTGTAATATTCATAAGATTTGAAGAAGTTCTTCATGAATATTTTCAAAATACCGAGTTTTTATCCTTACCAGTTATATTTATGATTCAATAGAAATATTCTAAAATGTGAAAATTTTATATGAAATCCAATTTTCTTTCGATTGGTTATTGGTATAATTTGAACATAGGTCATTATTCAAAGTTCTAGAAATGAGTAACAAGAATAATTCTTTATTCATCTTGAAATATTTATGAACGACTTCTTCAAATCTAAAGAAAGTTATACAGATCAATATCTGCAACATTGATTTAAACGATACTGAAAAGATGATTTTGGTAGTGGTAATGGATCAAAAACTATTCAAAGAATCGTAGTCAGTATTTAAATAAAGATATGACAAAAATTCTATCAGTAGTTTTTCTTTTGATTATTATTACCTTCATTGTAATGTAAAGCAAGTTCATATAAAATGTTAACATTTGATATTTCTTCTGTTACGAAAATTGATACTGTTTTATGATGTGTTTTACAAAGATCATTGATGATTCCATCATCAATGCATTTGCCAAATTCATCAAAGAAACAAAGAATTCTATCTGATGATAAAGATTCAAGTTGTTTCTCATCAATAAAATGATGAATAATGGTTGAAATTTTACATTTCGATGTAGTGAAATATTCAGATATATTTGATCGAAAATGAATTTGAATTTGAATCAAGTATTGCTTTTCAATAATATAATATTCTAAAAGTGATGGATCTGATGATGATCGATAATTACTCTTTGTAAAATCAATAAAAATTTCATTTTTATTGACAACAACAAACAAATCGTGATCATATTTTTTCTCATTAAATAACATTTGTAATTTTTCATAAAAATTTTCATTTTTCCATAAATATGTTTTTGATTCTCCATTTGGATGTATA